TGTTTCTTCTTCCGTTTCCACTTTTTGGTTTTCTTCATTTCTTTTGGTTTTCATTCTATATTATTTTTTGTATATGTCAAAAACATTTTTATAATACCTGTTGAAAATATTTCCAATAAAATTTAACATTATTTTAATATATGGTCAACATTTTTGTTGTACACATTTTTACATTTTAGATGCTTAATTAACATTTTTCATATACTAATATTTTTAATACATGGTCAATACATTTCTTAAATCCTTGGTACAAGTTTTGAAATAAAAATATTAACATTTTCAATACATGGTTAAGTTTTTTCTATACACATTTAACATTTTCGAAACTCTCGATTAACATTATTCAAACACTTGTTCAATATTTTTTCAAATGCTTGATTAACATTTTTATCTACATGATCAAAACAATTCATCGTTTTTTAATACATGATAAATATTTTTTCTACACATTTATCATTTCTTAAATGCTTGATTAATATTTTTCAAATACTTTTCAACACATAAAGGATGGGACGCTAACGCTCGGGTTTTGCCAACCTTCTTGAAGGTCCCTTCTCGTGTTTACATGTTTTGGGACACATCTGGAAGGTTCCTATAGACGCCTGCTCGCTCGCTTCATGTTTTTACATGTTTTCTTAAAATGTTCACTGTAGACGCCTGCTCGCTCGCTTCACTGCATGCACTAATGGTCGGCCCAGTTAGGGCGCCACCTTTGCGTTTCGCCACCAATATGCCGCAAATAGTGGTAGATAGGAGCTCCCACATACATCAGGAGATCCTAATTAGCACCCTGACTGCACTACTTGATGCATAGGACAAGCCCATTCTGGGACAGCCCATTATTCAGCCCTTTTTGTGTTGTCCACTGTTCACCATTTTTTTTGTGTTCACCATTGCTCACTGCTATGATTTATTTTGTGTTTTATGTCTGTACGGGGTTATTTCCAAGTATCAGTTTCCATTTTTTTTTGTCTTCCTCAATTTTTCTCATTTCTGTGGTAAGTGTTTTTTGTTCCACCTTTTCCTTTTCGGTTTTCCTTTTCATAACCTGCTCAACATTTTTTTATTACATGGTGAATATTGTTTGAATATACTGTGATTTTTTTAATCCTAGCGAACATTTATGTATACATAGTGAACACTTTTTTTCAACACGGTGGACTGCTTTTAGTAGATGATATAAAAAAATTGTACATCTTGAACATTTTGAAGACACGGTGAATATTTTTTTGAAGCATGATGGACATTTTAAATAGATGGTAGACTTTTTTTTAGTAAATGCTGATTTTTTAAAAATAAAACTTAAACAACTTTGAAATACATAATGAACATATTTTAAGCCTAGTGAACAGTTTTTTAATAGACCACAGACTTTTTCTAAATATTCGGACCATTTTTGTACATGACGAACCTTTTTTAAATACACGTTGATTTTTTTTTTACAAAAGTGTTTTGCAGTTTTACATAAACTAGTCAATGTGTACGTGCAATGCACGTTAATTTGGAAGTATATTTAGTGCATGCGCATATCAAGTACAATATTATTTGCGTGTTATATTGTGATTAGCACTATATTTGGCATGAAATTAACTGCACGCTAAATGTATTGAGCGCTCGACATTGAAGCTGTCTAGGTCGTTGAATTGACATAATTTGATGGCGAGATTAATTAGATATGCCCCTTTGGGTTCTTTTATATTGGTATAGATATAGATATAGATGATTTAATGGCCGAGATTAATTAGATCTGCCCCTTTGGGTCATTTTATATTGGTATAGATGTTCACTTTTTTTTCATAATTTTCAAAAAAATATATGTAAATATAAAATGATATTCATAATTTATCCTCTAAAGAATCATGTTTTCATATAAAATGTAAAACCGACCTAGAAACCAAGGTAAACTGAGATAACCAAAGAAAAATCACTAAAACCAAATTTTGGGATCGCTCGGGGAAGAAAATAACCCACGCAACGCTTTTGTGGCCGGCACATACGTAGATAGCGAGCATGCAGCGTATGTATAGACTACCCATTTTTCCATCATTTTAGATTGTTTTTGTTTTAGTTTTTAAATTACTTTCCGAATTTTCAAAAAATGTCACAAACTAAAAAAAAATTGAATTTAAAAATGCCCAGAATCTCAGAAGAAAATTAGCAACTTAATAGATGTTCACGGGTTATTCAATATGTTCACTGCTCAAATATAAAAAAATGTTCGCAAAATAAATATTTGCGAATTTTAAAAATGTTTGTGAATAAAAAAATTATGTGAGTTTGATAGATATTCTTGAATTCAAAAAATGCTTGCAAATTTCGAAAATATCACAAATTGTATAAAATAATGTTCACGAATTTAAAAATCCTACAAAAATGCCCTTGCGTTGCCACGGTCATTTTATTATTATTATTCCAAAGTTACATATAAACATAATGCATGCTAAATTTCACATGTATAGAAAAAATAGCCAATAACAATCCTAATTGAAATCCACTTCTCTTGCAATGTACTCCCTCTGTAAATAAATATAAGAAATAATACTTTTATATTTCTTTACGGAGGGAGTAAGTTGATAAATAAAAGGTACTTTGGCAATGTATACATAAAGAGTCGTGATCCAACTAATAAATCCCTACTATTAAGATCTACTTATTGCCTTTAAGGTATTCTCACCATTTATCTTTAGCTTCATTCAGAGATACTTTGGCCATCCTGCACAATGAACATATACAGTTAGCAATAGTATTTCAAGCGGAAGGTCTAAAAATATGCAACGAAGAATACTCACCATGCATTCAAAACGGACAAACCAATTCATCACCATTCCACGAGAGCATAAAATTAGAAAGAAAATAGTCAGACAAAATGTCCACTCCGAAATGCTTGCAAAAAGTACCATCAATGTGAATTGAGATGGGAGCATGATCTCTTAAAATGATGGGCAAAGTAAGAACTTTTTTATTATGGGTACACTGCACAACAGTCAGGATTAACAAGACAAGATCCAATCTTCGGTAAACAGGAGTACAAGTGTGGTGCTGGCCACGCCAAGTATAAGTAGGACTACTAACCAGTGTCAAAGAAGCCACACTGTTTACTAAAGAACGCAAAGCACTCATGCGAAAATAATTCACATTAGAAGTACTCTTATCAACATCATACAAGATATCATTCAGGTCTCCCATACAGATCATTGGTTTACCCAAGTTATCACATACACAAATTTTGAAACATTATCCCAAACACACTAGTCTCAAGGTGGTACAAGTCACCATAGATATAAACTAGACCAAACTTGATACGCGAGGCTGTATGGACAACATTAGCTAAGATAGCATGAAAAGATGCACTATGAATAGACACTTTCAATTCATCGTTCCACATCAATCATAATTTTTGAAATGAACTACTATAGTATCCGACATGTCAAGATGGTTCACAAGATCTCGAGACTTAACGACAGAGATGATTTTTGAAATGAATAAAAACTGAGGTTTTGTGGAGTGGATGAGATGTGGCAGGTAAGTCATGCGATCATTACCAAGGTGTCGACCTATGCCTTTACGGTTTTAGGCGATAAACTTCATGGCGACCAAGGCGCGTTAGAATCCCAAGGTTTCTCCTTGTTGATATTATAGTAGGAAGAACTTGATGCCTCCACTCATAAGAATTGCTTCAAACCACCTTTAATGAGCAGCTGTTCGTGAATCATATAAGACAAAAAATGGAGTAGCCGACACACACGTGCTTGCGCTAAGTCAGATCATGTCCTCGCGCCAAGACATCCTCCCAAGGCTCTTCCACCATGAAGCTCGGGACTTGGTGATGGAGTCGGCGACGGTGTGATAGACAGCCTTTCGGTCGCCTTGTCACCGGATTTAGGGTTGTGCTAAGAGCAGAACTGGAACCAGTGGGTGTGAGATAGATCCGACTTGGATAAGGGATGCCGGTGTGGAGTCCGGCCAGAGAAGGTGGTGAGGCGCAAGTGAGTCGGTGGTGGGCAAGGACCGAGCAAAGAACTGGGAGATGGACACATGAGAGAAAGGGGATCCAGGAGAAAAACAGGGGGAGGAGATCATAAGAAGGAGGAAAAGGGTAGATACGACAGAACACTAGTCGCCGGAAGTCACCATGGAGGCAAGTCTCGAAGCCATCCCAAGTATTGTGCGTGAAGTCGTGGAAACCGAGCCCATCCCTGGTTGTAGTCCATATTCGGAGCGCGAAACGACATTGGAAAAGTAAGTGCGACGTCATGACGTTAGGCCACCCACACTAGTCATAGAGAAAAGCAGACGGAATAACGTCCACATAAACTCTGCCATTGCTTCCAGATCCAGGTAAAAATGTTGATGAGG